ATTTAAGCAGTAGCTGGTCCTGCCCTAAATCGAAAATATCTGTCACAATCCCCTTCGAAAAACTAATTGATGAAGAGAAAGGAGAAAAGTAATAGCAACCAGATGATTATCTAAGTACGAGAAAAACAGATAATAAATCCCTCCCTTCTCCACAATCAAGGACAACATAAAAGAGATAAAATAACAGATGCTCATAAGATTCACACTTACTACTTCATACGATATTATCCTCAATGCCAACATTATCTATGAAAATATTCTGAAAATTGTAATTTAGCAACAAATAACTGTCAAACCATGGACCAACAACAAGAAAAGCCTTTTCCCACCAAATGTATCAAGTCATGGACCAACCGGAAAATTTTATGCCAACAACTGATGTTTTGCATTGAAAAATGAAAGAAAAGATAGCGCACACTCAAAATAAGAAAAAACGTGAAGAACTTTGGAAAAAAAAAACTGTTTACATATATGCATATGCAGATATTCTCATAAGTCACAAGTAAGCTAATGAAAAAGTAAAACTACAAAATCAATTTTCTGCCATATCGATTCTCCAATCCCCTAACACCCAACAAATGAAGACAAAATAAAGGCAGGGCTTTATTAATATCTGCACTATATGACATATACAAGTGAACCACATACCATTTCTTTGTCAATCAATCTTCAAATGCATCCATTGGACCAACAGGAAAACAATATATGAAAAGAAAAATAACAATCAAAAGTCAGCTTATATAACAAGCATCTGTTCAGTCACAAAATTTAAACAGACAACTAAATCATCAGTGGTACCTTCTCAATATTCTACGCAAATAATAAGCATCCATGTGTTCCAACATGGAAGACATTATGTTGGATCTCCACCAAAAGTTTATAGCAATGGTCAAATCATCACTATCTACCTGGTGTAACCTTCAGCAAAGAACATAATGAAATTAATGATAGGTAGAGAGCAAGACAGGCAATTAAGAAATTTATAGAGTAAAAGAAAATGCAGATTGCTAATCAAACATACCCCGATAAGTAGTGTGCTATGCTAATACCATTTTAACCACCAAACGTACAACAACAACAACACAAAAGCCTTTTCCTACTGTATTGTGAATGTTCTCGGCGCGAATAGGATTGCCTAAGAGGGTAAAACATGTGGCTAGACCAAAAAACAGACTCGACAAAAAACCTACTTATTGGCTTTTTACCATCCAATATTCAGTATCATACAGAATCACAGGTCTTATCACGGTAACTAGTGTAAATAACAAGTACAATATTTGTCCTGCAACACCCAAGTTTCCCTGTCCAAATCAACCAGCCTGACCCATTTTTATCTAATTCAGAAGAAGAAGAATCTACCCATAAACTGAGGAAGGCTTATCACAGAGACAATGTTGAATTTTAGACCTTACCAGCCTTCAGGAATGAATAGTGCATCGCCTGCTTCAAGAACGACCTTTTGCGCAAAATCTATTGAGCGTTCTGCCCTTGGATAAATTGAGTAATCAGGGTTTTCTAAATCAAGCGAACTGCCAAAAGAATTTTATTGGGAAAAGGGACAAAAAGAACTGTTAGAATATAAAAATGTGTGAGTAACTTGTTATGGGCCAGCCTTGAAAGACTCATGCCAGTACTACACCCTATTCATTAGATCATTGCATGCATAGGGTGCTTAACAATCACTGAGTTAGTGCATCCATTATACAGTAGTTCTCTATATATCGTCTCTTTTTCACTATGTTCATTTAGAATACCTGTGATTGGAAGCCTCCCCATATATAGGTCTTGGGTAGAGTGAAGGACTAGCAGAAGGAGGCCATAAAACAACTGCAAAGAATTTGGTGCTGTTAAAGAAGGGCAGAAATGGAATTGAGGAGTAATGAGGACAGAGGAAGGAAAATCTGTTTTTTTCTAACCTATTTTAACTAGGTTCATAAATAATTAGTTTATAAGTAACGATTTTGTCATAAAGAAAATGTTCATTTGAAATTAGACCCAGAAAATAATAGGCCATTATCATGATAAACAGTAGTAATTAATAAGACATGTGAATCAGTTCGTCCAATTTTCTTTATCTTGTCCAGATAGGAACTGGAAAATCAACACCAAAAATAGAGGAAGAAACAGAGAGTTTCGAAAATGTACAGGTAAGTTCAATTCCTAAGAGTGACATTTGTTGGGAAAGTAGCCACATACCCCGAAAGGAATTAGCTTCTTACCCATAGGGTGAGGGAAGGGATGCCCTTGGTTATACCAAAAAAAATGTACCGGGAAATCTATATTATTTACTGTCACGTTACTTCAGACATTAATATATTAAAGCACCAGCAAGTCATAACAACTACTGTATTCCCATATAAAGCGATAGCATTTTCCTGACAAGGAGCACCTCCACCACGAAATAACATAATAGATCAAGAGGAAGAAATATATACCTTACCTTGTTTGCGGCCAGAAACTATGCACAGAATATTGTGGTGTGGATCATAATGAGTACTTGATCTAGCTTGGGCATTGTTCATCCACAAATTTATAGAAGATAGTTCTTTTGCCTCCAAAAATGAAGGCTGCAGAAACAACTAGCTTAAATTAGAACTCTAAATTAACATTCCTATTAAGAAGAACAATTTACAATGCATAATTATAGACTAGGTAATAAAATAGAGAGGATAAATGCACTAACGATCTGAATGTCTTCCCTTAGAGTTTCCAATTGAACCCTCTCCTCGCAATCACTGTTCATAATTGGCACCTGAAGTGCATGTTATTAAAATTGATTTTTGAAATATGACACCATCACACTATCAAATAAATAAATAAACAAATATATATAATCTTAGGTGTTTGATTTTGAACCTGTGCTAAGTAAGTTTGTTCAGGAACACATTCCGAAGATAGAAAGGCACCATCAATGCCAGAACTCAACAGATCATGTGTTTGTGGGCTAAGGCAAGAAGGACCAAGGTTTTCTTCGTGCTTACTTTGCATTCGTTGCTTACAAAAATCAATGAACGTAGAAAATGGCAGAGGAACCTTCAAACAATTGAAAGTCCACAATTAATTTTAGATAATGTGATCCGTGGAAATAAAATTTGTCAATAGCATACAAAACAATTACCCTCTCGTGGCTTCCAAGATCACCATAAAAGACCGGTGCAGATCCAGACATCATAGCCTCGACCGTGGAAGATCCTACCCGTGCCTAGGTTTGAAGTATAACAGCATAGTTGAGCAAGTGCTTTTTGCATATATATAGCTAATCATAATCTTAAGATAACCTTAAAATAGTTGCAATAAGGATTTTTCGCTTTGTTAAATTGCTACTTGCCAACTTTGATGACTAATAAGTGTTTGTTTGGTTATGCGGACACTATGCGCATATAAGAATTGTCCCAAATGAAGATATTCAACATAATAGCTACTAATTAAATTAAACAAACAAGAAGATGCAGTGGTCAAAAAGTGTGGTCGTAACTGCAATTGTGGCCACATCACCCCCTTCCCGCAAATGCCGTAAACAAAACATGACCGTAACTGTAACCACAATTTAAAACCATAATGAATGACTCTGAAACAAGTATAACCTGCAAGTAGTCTAGGCCAGCTTTGGACGGGCTCCACTTTGAGAAGGCTCTCCAATCCTTTGTGCATCCAACAAACACCTTTCATTTTGAAATAGAACAATTACAAAACAAATTAAATAAATAGAGAGAATAAAAATAAGAAGCAGATAGTGTATGAGTGATTGTGGTTACAGCAGGAACATTTCGAGGCTCAATAAGAGACTCAAAGTCTTTAACAGTGGGAACTTGTTCATATCTTCGAACTCGAATGGACTCATCCATAGATTTCGTATATTGCAAATTGAGTTTGAAGAATTCAGATTTCAGGTACCAGTAAGGCGAACACGCGGAACCTACTTGCGATTCAGTTCTATGTCGAGGAGGCTTGTTCTCTGCTTCTTCACCTCTTTTGAAAATGAGAAAGCTTTATTACTAGGGCAAGAACTGCATGCCTTTTCCGTAAAAACTTACGGTTTCCACAATTCAGTGTTTCTTGGTACCAAGCTTGTGCATATGTATGGGAAATGGGTCTTGTTTTTCGATGCGCAGTAACTGATTGATAGAATGCTCAAGAGAACTATTTTTACTAGCAATGTTTATGATGGATAATAAATTGTTGCTAATTTTAACCTTAAGGCCCAACTCAACCTGGCCTCTTACTAACTAGCCCAATATCCTGCATACTGCATACACGGTTCAGAGACTTCATTCTAGAAGGTATTTCTGGTTTAGAATTTCCTCTTATCTTCTTGGGAATAATTTGTTTGATTTTTTTTTGTATTACCAAAGGCATATCCCAATCTTTATGTGAATTATTCTCTTTTAAGTGTATGATTATTTATCCTAACAAATGTTGTCCATAAAACTTGAACATTAACCTTATAGTCATCCTAAGGATACAATGGACGTTACCTTTTGTCAATTAGCAAAAATATTTTTAATAGAAGGAATTCATAATTTGGAAACATAAAAGTGCCCCTAGCATAAAGTTGATTTATGCTAACAGTTTGAGATGTAAGGGCACATTTTAATTTGTCTTAGTAAAAGAATAAGTTTGCATTTTAAATTGGTAAATACATATTTATCAATATACGTGAATTAGTATATGCATAATTATTCATACAAACTACTTTTGAATAAGTTAAAACGTGTCATTTATCTAGAAACCCATTAATTTTAGCATTTGTCTTAATGGATTATTTACTGTTGTATTTAGATTTCCAATATAGAATTTTAAATTTTTTAACCTATTGGCCCAAAAATGATGAATAATATAAGGCCGTTACTAACCTGCATTTGGTTTGTTTTGGTGCGAACTGTTATTTAAGCCGGGATATTATTTTTTGGAAGTTGTTTTGGGTAACACCGACTTCTCTTAGTGTCCATCACGTTTGCATTTTTCACGTGTCCATCACGTTTGCATTTTTCTTACATTTCATGTTGCAGTGATTTTTTTTCATGATTTTTATCCTGGATATAATTATTGGCTTATGCATAACCTTGCTTTCCTGAAGGATAGTTCCTATTTCCGAATTGATTCTTACTCTTTCATTTTGCATTATTCTGTGTCAGGAATTGGAGACACAGTTAGCAGCAAAAGAAGCCTTTCTATTGCCTGAACCATCCTCTGATGGTGAGAATGTCGTGAATTTACTCGTAAGAATGCCAGATGGCAGCCGTCGTGGACGCTGATTCCTTAGATCTGATAAACTACAAGTAAATAACCTGCTAGGAACTGTTATTTTCCTACCCAATTTTGGTGAATATTTTTACAAAACCTGATTCTGGTATTTTTTTTCAGTCTCTTTTCGACTTCATAGATATTGGTAGGGTGGTGAAACCAGGCAGTTACAGACTGGTGAGTGAACCTGTTGCGTTTCGGTTTGCCTCATGTTAATGAGTGCATAACACCTTAAATTTGAGTCTTTAAAATTATAGTATCAGTCCTGAAATCCTCGCTTGAGCGAGAGATTCTCGCCTGGGCGAGAAAAGCTCACCTGGGATGGTGAAATCCTGGGCTATACTGGAGGATTCTCGCCTGAGCGAGAGTTGTCTCACCTGGGCGAGAAATGGCATTTTGGGACTGTTGATACTGTGACTCGCTTGAGTGAGAGGGTCAGATCTGAGTTTTTTAAAAATAGGCGGGATTTTATCGCTTGAGCGAGAAAGGACTCGCTTAAGCGAGAACCCGACGAGTTGTATTAAATGAGAAACCCCAAACACAATCTAGGGTTTAGAAAAGAAGAAGGGTAAGAGAAGAGAGCTTTTTCAAGGACAAGAAGTTTGGATACTCATCTAAGAGCTTGAGAAGAGGTAAAAACTCTTGATTCTAACTATATTCTTCTCTTTAAAACCTATTTTGGGTATGTTGGATCTCTTCTAAAAAATGAAGGAAACCATGGAAACTCATCTTTTGAGTTATGGTTCGTTTTATGTTATTTCTCTGTTACAACTCTTGGTTTAGAGTTAGTATTTCAAGAATGGAAATGGTTATGAGTTGATTCATGAAAACCCAAAACCCTAAAGAGAAAATGTGGTTGAAATGGTTAAAATGCTAGAGGTAGAAGATGATTATATATGTTTTGGATGGTTGTAAGCTTACGATAAAAGTAGTTTAACAACATTGAAAATATGATGAAATATCTTGTATGGTTAAATAATGCAATATAAGTTGTTTATGTGATATTTGTAATAAATGACTAACATTGTATTATATGATGGGAATGATAAAAGATCATAGAGTTGGCGGCGGTGTCGGTGGAACTTATGAAGTTGCCAAGAACCAAACCCAACACTTACCGAGGTAATGATAAGTCTTTATTGGTGCATTTGGAATAGAAAATGTGCGTATTTTCTGGTTATGCAATGATTGAGTGGTGAATTACGCGTTTAGTATAAACATATATGGGTGTGTTTATACTAAAGTGGGCGTAGATTTACGGAAAATGGAAAATGTGTGTGTTTTCTGGTTATGCAATGATTGAGTTGTGAATTACGCATTTAGTATGAACATATATGAGTGTGTTTATACTAAAGTATGCATAGATTTACGGAAGATGGAAAATGTGTGTATTTTATTTTCTGGTCAAGCAATAATTATACTGTGAATCAGGTGTTTAGTATAAACATATATGGGTGTGTTTGTACTAAAGATGACGTGAATTTACGAGAAATGATTGATGGTGAATTCAATGAAAATAAAATATATTTTTAGCCGATCCTAAATGGTTAGCGACTCTGGCTTGAGTATATAAGCAAAACTCTGGCTTGAGTATATAAGCAAAACTCTGACTTGAGTATATAAACAAAACTCTGGCTTGAGTATATAAGCAAAACTCTGGCTCGAATATATGTAGCATGTTTTCTTCTAAAATAAATGAGAATCTGCTTTTAGCTAACCCCGAGGGGTGTAATGACTTTGGCTCAAGTTATGCAGCAAAGTAAAATGAATTTCAAAAATGGATCACTAACCCTTTTCTAATGTGAATTATTTTATAATGATGTTTATTGAATTAATGACTTACTCCTTTGTATGTTTGTGTACTTGTCATTAATAATCACATTGCAGATAAATAGGTGATATGAGGGGGACTCATTTTTGGGTGCTTAGGGAGAGTTATATTTTGGATTTATTCAATTGCATTATCTTGTATATTAGTGCATAGTTGATAGTTTAACACATTATGTAACTATGGATATATATTTGCTGATATGAGGGTGTAACTCTGGATATGTGTAGCTATGAGTATTTTGGAAACTCATAGCTAGTTATATGCGGTGATTACTAATCTACATTAATACGAATTATGTTTTTCTGTCAAATGATTATGTACGTCATTATTGATTCATGCGTTGAGTGTGAGGAGGGAAATAAAGTTTTGAAGTAAGGATATTAAATTAGTAATGTGAGTTATGAGTGATTGCATGAAATTGAATTAAAATGAGAAAAAAAATTTCAAGGGTAGAATTTGGATCCTTACAGAGTGCCATAAGGACACTTGTTAAGGAATTCAAACTTAGAAACTGTGCATTGGAAAGCACATCTCTTAAATTTTGGACGTCCTGGATGTAGCAATTTCCAGTACACAGAATATATATATTCAATAATATTATATGAACACACCACCTTCAAAACCGACTTCATAGAGAAGTACGTATGAAGAAAACCTTCTTCATAATTAGAAGGTTACATTTGCCAAACCGACTTCTATACTTCTATAGAGAAGTCGGTATCACCCAAAACAACTTCCAAAAAAATAATTAAATAGTTCCTAGTAAAATTTTCAACAATACAGATTATTTAAACAATATCCAATGGTTTAAATAACAGTTCGTACCAAAATGAACTAACCTGCAATTAGCAGGTTAGTCATGGCCATAAAATAAATCTGATTTGCAAAAATAGTTATATGAAGTATGAACTTGTCTCTCAGTTGCAGGTAAAGCCAAGTGGATAATTAATTTGATTAGGTCTATGAGCAGCCTATATCCATATTCACAGCTTGAATCAGAGTTTACAGAACTTAGCTATCACTCAAAAGAATACACCCTCACCAATTCGATTCTTACGAGTAATATTAGTTTATTGCCCAAAATAATAAGTATATAAAATAATGAGTATATTTTTATTAGTAATAAAAAATAGTGGGTTGTATAAAGCTGGAAATAACATTAAATTGAAGCAACTGGAAACATGAATTGACAACTGAGGTTTACCAACACTCTCAGGAAGTAGAGATACAAAGAAAATGTTGTTACCGTAACTTGCAGCAATTCTAAATGACACGAAATAATACTTTCTGGCTGAGTCACGACCAGGTCACTTTCTTTAAGAAGTTTCGTGGTACTGTCAATTCTCGAAATTCTCACGGTATGGCTACCAGTGCCAATTCTATTCCCACAATTTGACTATCAGTGTCAGTTCTCAAAATTCCCGCAATTTGGCTACCTGTGCCAATTCTTCTCCCACAATCAGTTTTCGAACTTCTCACTATATGGCTGCCTGTGCCAATTCTTAGTGCCACGGAAAGAAAGGGGGAGAAGTTTGCCGGAAATGCATCGGTAGAAATTATGAGGGAGAAAAAAAAAGTTGAGTAAAAACCTACTCAACTTGGTGCCAGAAAATATGAAGAAGAAGATTTCTATTTATAGCATGAGATTTTGTGAAGACTCTTGCATCCTCCAATGTGAGACTTGTGAGATTTTTTTCAAAATCTTTCAGTGTGAAACTTGTGAGGTTTTTACAAAATCTCCCAAGATAAGACTTGTGGGTTTTTTCATTTTCACAACAATACAAGTTCGAACAGAAAATGACACAGTTATGATAGACAAACAAATATGCCAAAAAAAGTGCATAGAAATTCTGAACAACCCCCCTCCACTTTTGTTACGCAACCCGATAAGTGGAGGGGCTGTGGTCTTTTGTCTCTCGCCAGAAGGCTCAACAGTGAGTGCCATCTTATTTCCAAAGATAATAGAGCTGTCATCCTAGATTGTCACATGTTTCAGGGCTCATTGTGTTGGACCTACACTGCTCTAGTCACCAATTTTACTGCACTTACTGCAATTACCAAGGCTGGGAATGAAATGCATCTATTTTAAAAATATATTTATAAGAGAGATAAAAATGTATGTATTATACTATTATATGAGTTATATATATTTTTATTATATCATATTTTATTATTTAATTATGATTAATTCTTCAAAAAAGTAATTTTAATAAATTGTGATTGTTTATAAATATTTAAAGAGACAATTTTGTAGTACTTATTTTTCTTTATCTATTAATTGATAGTATCTTGATTCATCAGTGATTATAAAGTCTCAAAGTCCATGACAATGTGTTAGACCCTTTCTCATTCATTTCTCTATTCTTTTTCACATTCAATCCGTGAGATTTTCTATTAAACTTAAATAAACTATCTATACTGCTCTTTATATTCAATTCTTAAGATTCACTATGAATATGGTTGAGGTTGATGATCTTTCCTAATGTGACACAAATAATGTTCTATTCATTTTCATTGTATAGTGAAGTATACTCCTTTATTAGATTCACTGTTACACAGGGTGAGTTATGTCTCTCTCATATTCAACCTCTCTTTACAATATTTGTCCCATTATATTCTATGTATATACCTAAATGCTGGTTTCTAAGCCCATTTGCTTACTTGTTTGTTTGAAATGAAAACAACCTTCACTACTTTACCATGTTTTTTAGCTTCAATGTTTACCATTCCTTTTCTTCTCTAACTTTTCTCTCATAGAATACATGCATGTTTCATCTGGAACATGTGCTTATAAGTTATAATTGTTTGATCTACACTCCTTTCATTCACAATGAGAAGAAAGTGTCACAGAGGAAAAAGTGAAGCTGCCAGCATGATCTAGATTTGGTTAAGGAGAGCTAGAGAGTGCTAATTAACCTTGACTAGGTCATGCTGAGCCAGCCTCACTCCTTCCTATTTTGGAGACAAATACATTCCATGCATCTTCTACATCAGAAGAAAGACACAAACCCTAAAAGATTAAGGTGAGTGCAACAGTATAACTTGGTATATTCTTTCTGTTGTGGCAGACATGCCCTATATCCTTTTGCCCTTACACTTGCTTCTGTTAACTTCTTATATTCCTTTGTTTTTCAAGGCATGCATTGTGTCTTGCTTACCAACATTGGAGATGAGAGTTGGTAGAATATTGCATTTCCTTTCTTAACTTATCTTGAGCTTTAACAAACATAGAGATGAGAATCATCATGTGTCCCATGATATTTAACGTACATGTTATTCAGACTGCCTTGAAACTTCAGAGTACTATGATATGGTGTTTAAGCTGCTTTATATGCTGATGAGTCCCGAGTCACTATTTTTTTCAGTAGTTCATATCTGGATACTATTTAGAAAAAACAGATAATTTATAAAATAGTTTGTGATCTACTACTATTTTTTTAAAGTTATTTTAATTAGATTGTTAAAGTGGTAATTTATTTGAACAAGTAATTAGTTTTTACAAAAAAAAAGTAGCGAACGAGCATAGCTATAATAGCCTAGAGAGGAAGCCCTGAAACGTGAGCAATGACTGCATGTTTCTACTTTCAAAGATACTAGTCAACCTTGATGAGAGAATTTGAATCCACAATAGGTTTACACATTAAAATCCACTAAAGTATATGTGTTTTTTATAATTTCAAATGTTCTAGAGACAAGTTTCCATTTTTATTTTAGGACTAGTTTTATTGTTCCTTCTCATGTATAAAAGCCTCATTGCATTTTTTTTATGTAATAATAACTTTTTTTTGTCATACTAAAAATATCTTTTATCTTATCTTATTTTTGCTTTCAGAAATTTAACTATTGACCTTTGGTATTAGGTCAATGCACTATTGGTAAAATAAATTTCTTTTGTAACAATGAACATCCGTTGTCAAATTTCTAATTCTTTTGGTAAACAAGAGGGACAAAAAAAGCCTCAATGCATTCTTTTCATGTAAGATAAACTTTCTTTTTATTAAGAAAAGTTATCAATTTTCTAATTCTGTTGGTAAACAAGAGGTAAAAAGGCCAAAGAACAAAGCAAATATTGTACCAAAATAGTAAGATTGGATATAAAAACTCATTAAAATTAGCAAAAATCAAACTAACTTTTATTTCAAGGGAGTGAGAAAGAGGGCAGTTATGGGGCTTGTTGAAATTTAAGATTTAAACAAGTTATAATACGTTCTGAATTTTTACATGCGGTTCATATTTTATTCTCTATATGACAAAATTAGACACAAGGAACTTGGATCAACCACCAAGTCGAGCTTGACCAAAAATCTAAAACTCAACAGCACTGTGTCATAAATCATAATAAAACAATGTAAGATGATAATTTACATAAAATGTCAACGATCTTATGTGTTACTTTGTGCCCAAGACTTGAAACTTCAAATAAAAATTGATCAATTCAAGATCATTATCCTTGCAAATTCTTCATAACTAACTTGACCATCCCCATCCAAATCTGCCTCTCTAATCATTTGTTCAACTTCTTCATCTGTCAACCTCTCTCCCAATTTCATCATTACATGTCTCAGCTGTAAAATATCAAAAATTACCTTATATTAGTTATAATCAAATTAAGAAAAACTCATTTATTTTAATTTATGCAGCACTAACTAGTTATATATATATATATAGAGCAATAGCATTTATAATGTGAGGATACATAAAAAAGTGCATAATGCAGATTTATACCTCAGTGGCTGATATGTATCCATCGTTATCTCTGTCAAATACTTTGAATGCATCTTTTAGCTCCTCAACCACACTTTCCTATTATAATTGAAAACTAGCATTGTTAGCCTCAACCAACTTAACCATTTATCAACCTTTAATTTGTGTGTAACAAATGATAAGGTTCTGTTTCTTACCTTCATTTTTATTCCCATAATATTCAAGAACTCTTCAAAATCTATGCTCCCTTTTCCATCAAGATCAACTTCACTAATCATATCTTGGATTTCTTCTTTGATTGGATTTGCATCTAATGATTGGATAATGGTTAATAGTTCATCCACTGAAATTAATCCTATACATCACCAACAATTTCAGGAAATCAAAGTCAGTTTAAAATAAAAATGCCTTTTTTCAAACCAATTCAAAATCATTATGGTGAAGGAGCAAAAGAACACACCATCAGAATCCTTGTCAATAAGGCAAAAGGCTTCATGGAATTCAGAAATTTGATCTTTCACTGCATCTCCCATTTTTTGGCTGCTGCAGGTTCAACTGAAGTGAAAAGTAGGTAAGATTCAATAGAGGATAAATTGCTTAGCTTGTTCCCTAAGTAAGGTATGAGGGTGAGAAAGAACAACTTTTGATTTGATGTAATAGTATTATCTTAATTTTGCTTTTATAGAAGAGAGACTGCGTGAGGTGGGGCCACTTTTTTATCAATTATTCAAAAGGTCAAAACACGGTTTGTGGAGAATTTTCAATTCAAATGTAGGAAAATTTCCAGAAGAGTGTTAGGGATCATTGGGAAACTTTGAATAAGACTTGTTTCATGTCCACATCCCAACTACACGGTAACACTCTCCAAGGAATCCCACCTTTTGGCATATTTTGTTGTCACATAATTTGTGGTCATTTATTTTGGTACATAATTTGTTCACAAGGAACTTGGTACTTCATTATTATTGTATAAATACTTCATAAGTCTGGCCTATAACAATTTAGGCCACAATTGAATTGAGTCAGCCTGTATTCATGGTGAGTCACCTTCCTTACTGTTTTAATCTCTCCTATGTTTCATTTCACAATTGGAGAACCACACCTAATCACAAATTACTTCCCCTAATTTTATGTTATAGCTTTCTCTTCCTTCTAGTTTTCACTCTCTAAAGGTTAATATAGTTGAGGGGGAAAGGGGAAGGTAACATGTAGAAAAAACATGCAAATGAAATGTAGTTGTATAGGCACTCCCACTCAAATTAATATAGATTGAAAAAGCATGCAGAAAAGGTGAGATTAACTAATTAACAAACTAATTATGAGGTGTGACAAAATGTTTCTCAATTCCAGTTGTGAAAATCTTACATTTGAAGAAAATTGTAACATGACACTGTTTCATAGTATCTCAATGTGTAAGTACCAATATCTCTTATATTGGCTGGCCTTTGGGAACAACTTGGTCTTTGAGCCACATGTAAATAGGAACTAATACAAACCATGTTGCTGCCAATGCACCCAAAGCGAAGCGCAGTAAAAGGACAAAAGGATTTACTGGTTTTTCAACATCTTCTTCCTTTGGACCAAGCTGCAGCAAATTGTAGAAACCAAAAACAATCAGCATGTTTTACATACTACTCCCTCTTGTAGTCTTGTGAATAAAAGATAAGAAAATATACTAATATATGGTCAATCAGAAAATTCAGGGACAGAGATGATGTGACTTCTTTAAGAACAACTACCATATTCACTAAAACCCATAAATCCTATCACTTTACTATCATGAGACGATTATCGACATTTTGCAGCTAAACAAGAATTTTATCATGTTTGGAAGCAGTTGTCAACAAAGGTGGAAGTTTTAGTGCTGTGCCTTTGGAAAATCTAAACTCCAAACCTGAAGTGTTCATATCATTGATTGAAAAAACCTATAGATAGCAGGTAATTGAAGAAATCCAGTACAATACTACGCCCATTACGTACAGTAAGTTTGTAAGCATAACCTGTATACTGGTATTGAGCTTCAAGTTGAAAAAATAGTGAAGCTTGAACTAGCCGTGTGTACAGTAATGAATGAAAGTAAACAGTAAAATCAACCATGTTAGTTAGGTACTTATCATGTTAAGTCTAGTTATTTTCTTTTTTAATTTTCATTAGGTTCATTGACAACAATATGAGTTGTCCAAGAATCCAGGAAAAAAAGAACATCAAATGAAGGAAACACACAATAATATGAAAATTTTAACTGTGAGTAGAGCAAAATACGATCTAAATCAGAAAGAATGGGACAGGTTCTCCCTCAAATGCGCTTAAGTAATACCATTAAATAAATCAGGAAAAGAGGGATACCAACAGACCAAATCTTAGTAACCAGATGCCAACTCTAGTGTCAGACATGTAAAATTCACTTGTATGAGTATGTTCATATTGCTGTTAACCGTCCAGGTTAGACTCTACCTTGTTTATGGTCAGTAAATCATAAAATGTACCATCACACAAACAGGGAAGGCATAGAGACATTTACAAACTTCCTCTTATTCAAATACAAATAAAACCCCCATAAATTCCACAAAAAACAAGGGCCAACATCAACAACAAAAAGTATAGGCTGATAAGCTAAGATGACAAATACCTGCAAAGGAGAATCTCCAGATGCAGGTTTAACACCAGTCACTGAACAACCCATGATCAAGCCATGACGCCGTACCCCACGATACCACTTTGGTCCAATCCTTTTCAGCTGGACATCCTTAAACCCTGCCTTCTCAAACCACTCAACGTACTCTTCCTCCTTAGGGAAAAGCATCCAAACATCTGCAAAGAAACGTGACAACCAAAATGTTGGGTGGACAGGACCAATTAAGCATGCTTTGCCTCCAAGTTTCAAAACCCTGTATGCTTCCTTGATGCCACGCTGTGGATCTGGCCAGTATTCAATGCTGACAAAGGAAAGCATATCAATATATCATCATCAACTTCATAACCACATATACCCATAATGTAAATTAACCATAAACATTCCCCAGTGAATAAAATCAACACTTGAATAAATATAATGCAACTAGCCTGCTTGCTTAGGATTCTGAAAAAGATATTATTCTACAAAATCGAAATCAAATGTTGCAAAACATTGTTGTGGGAAGCTGAAAAATTAAATCTTTTTTCACATAAGCCTTTTTAGTGTCAGAATGGATTTGTTCAATAAAGCATACTAATGCAAAATTATCACCAATAGTGGAAAGCGCATTTATAGAAG